CAATTGTTTCATGATTATTCCATATGTACTACACAATTTTGGTTTTAATGAAATGCCAATGAATGGTTTCAGTGAGGACAAGGAAGGTTGGTTTCAGAAATGAGGTCAGAGGTCAAGGTCACCATTGTGAATGATAGAAAATTATTCGTAGAGGATAACTTTAGATTCAGTTTTGTTTCTACTATTTCCATTTTTAAGAAACAAAACAATGTTGGGTACACTCGCCTATAATTGCAGGTTGGTTTAAGGATCTACAGTAAGGTCAAAGGTCAAGATTACCGACTCGAGTCGCAAAATAAAGTGATTTTAATTGACTCAGCAATTGTTTACCAAGTGAGTTATTCTCTTCAGACTGTTTGAAATGTCGTATGCACAGTACAACCTTTTGATCTCAACTGAAGTTGTTATTATTGGCATTGGATTAGGGGTTTAATTATAAAAATTAAAGTGAAAGGTTAAAGGTCAGCATGGTTGATGATTGGTTAGGGTGCACTGAACCAATTCAAGCTCTATTGAAAATAGTGTAAAATCAACAAAGTTTGGAGCCCCATGGCAGGCTACTGAGGTCCTTAAGGCCTCTCAAACAAAAACAGTGTGTTATTTGGTCCTTCGGATTTCATTTCATTTTCAATTTTTAGTGGGGTAACCAATAAATTTGGTAATTATCCACCGAAAACAAACTCACCCCCCAAAAAGTGAATGTTCCCAAGTCTTCCCAGCAGCCATTTTTCAAATGGCATCCCTCACCTTTCTCAGGCTCTTCTGACAAATTTTCTTTCACATGTTTTTCTGCTTTGCCCCCAGATGGGTGCCCCTGAATATACAGAGATGATCCTGTGCCATACTTACACAATCCCACAATTTCTTGGCCCAAACGGACCCCTCTTTTCGAAAGAATCTGTAGGGGTACTTTTTAAGCGCCTCGGCCTGGTGGAGATTTTTCCTTGAATTCGATGGGACATTGCACCCTTAAGTTCTGGCAAACCATTCTTTGTACAGGGCTGAGAGGATGTAAAGCTGTACAAGCTCAGTTATTGTTTTTCAGAAAAGCAAAGGCATTGACATTTAATAATTGAAAAGGGCAGGTATTTCTGGGTGCGACATCTGTTTGTTTTAGTTCATCTACGTCCATAGTATTAGCACTGAACTGAAGATTTGTTAGGCGTAATGAAGTCACCTTTTGATATGACAGGTTACTACCCATCGCTGTCATGACACCAGTGGTTGTGGTGTATAACCATCTGAGAGCTCAAGACCCATGTACTGAGTGAGTTATAACAGATAAAGCCTTGTGCCTTGTACTCTAGAGCTTTGACACTAAGATCCTACAAGCTTTCTTCGATGCTGTTCTGTAAAGATTTGTACATTGAGATACCTCCTGTGTGATTTTTTTTATACAATAAAATTGGCGATATGGATTTTTGGTACAAGGTTCTGTGCATCTGCATGATGTGTTGCCCCAGAGGGATATCACCCTTAGAATGGCTGTTTCTTCTTGCTTGGAACCCTTATAAAGCTTTTCGTCCGTCCTTTTTATGAGTCCGCCATTTCCCGGCTCTTGACTTAACCACCTCCTCTCTTATCCTTGCCCCAAACAGTGCCAGTTGTAGTCTAGGTAAATGGGACAGCTCCAACATGGTGAGCTGTGGGTTCAAGTGTTGCTGTGTCTCAAGCCCACAAGGGTCTCGTTGTGCTCCTCTCCAAGCATTGAATTCATTTACTTGTACGGTTGTTGAATCATAGCAGGTGCAATTTATGTTTTCTTTCAGATGTTTGGTACTGTTTTTCAAGCCTTCTGTTCAAGGGGTAAGCAAACTTGTAAAGAAAAGAATCCTCTAATACACGATTTTTGTTTATTGATCTCTGAAGAACACCTTGAATTTGTGCTGCATGTATATCTATTGCGCATCACATTGGAAAACCTTTGGTTGGAACTTGGGTCGAATCAGGCCAAATGATAAACTGTTTCTTAACTTGATCAAAATGATCAGCAAGTGGCTGCCAGCCTGTTGATTTTCTTGTCTGCCTGACAAAATTTCTGACTTTTTCAAAAACGATCAGTTGACTTCAAGCTGCATTTGTTTTGGTTTTGTGCAGAACAATGGGTCCTTTGAGTCCTGGTCATGGGCACATTACGGTGCAATCTTCTTTGTCATATCGTTAGTGCTGAGCATGATGGCCATTGTGGTAAGTGCATCAAAAAATACTCCACGCTCGGGGAGATCTGTCATCGAGTTTCATGTCTGTTCATTTTAGTGTCGTTATGCAGATGGTGATTCAGAGAGTGACATTTTTCAGTTTCTGTGCCTTTCGTCACCACTTTTGTGTTAAGATGCATGGTGTTTTAAAATTCTAAGCACATGTTGGAGGACATATATGGGACACAGTACCTATTGCTATTATTATAGAAAAGTAGTTATCACAGTGTTAGTTGGCAAATAGTGTGGTGCTCATGGCTCAAAATTGGGTCACACTTGCTGCACATGTGAACACGAGTCTGCAGTGTCAGGTCAGCTATTCGTGGTGGGAAGTTGTAAGAACTGAATACATGTTGCGTTGGGACAAATTTTGCCAAAAAAGGTTCCTTACACCAGATTGCCTTCACATTCTTTTTGCCTTGGTGTAATTGATCTCATTCTTCCCAGACATTCTACGCCATGTCAGCGCTATTGTACAGGCAGCTCATGAAGAAGAACGGTAAGTGATCGTCTCTGCGTAGACTCTTTGTGACGGTCCATTTTCTTGCCCGGCAAATTCACTGTTGCAGTCAAAACCAGTTGAGCAACGGTTACAGACAACGTGCATCGAAGGTCATTTCACCTTTTAACCTGCTTTTGGGAGGGGAACCTTTCTGTGTGAATTCATAAGCACCATCTGCCCCCTACAGATTCCCAATGGCTTCTGGGTGGAGAGAATCTGTTGCAGTGAAATACCCTGCTTAGGGATACCAGCTTTGATACCTGTTTTTTTTGTCAGGGCTGCTTTTTATGCTCGCCTCGTAAGTTCAGTCTTCCATAAAGTCCCACTGGCTTCAAAGTGTAGAGAAGTACTTGTAATAGTGGCAAAATGTCCCACTTAGGAACACTTTCCTCACCCTGTAGCTGGGTTTGAAACCCTTCTTCAGCTGCTGATCCTTTCACTAACCTCTCAAAATTCCTTCACTGTAATCACTGTAACTTGAGTTTTTGTCAACATTTTGGTTTAGTGTGGACCAACAAGCAGCGCAAAGCTCTGATCGAGCTGTGCAAGCGAATCTCCCTCTACATATCGGTCTTCATCATCTGCTGGATCCCTGGTGAGAATGCATCAAATATCTCCTCTCTAGCTTCCTGCCACGACTCACCACTCCCAGATGGCTGGGGGTAGGGAGGGGGGTTGTCCTTGATCAGAACTTGCCAGTGTGCACTACTGATGTTACTGATTGTGGAGGAGATTTTTTTTTTTTTAGCTTGCCCGATCAGGCAGGCCATGCCATAAATTTGCCTGCCCGAATTAGATCACCACTTGCCCAAGATTTCTCGGAATCCACGATTATTGTGGTTATTTAATTTAGGCCTACTGCATGCAAGAGTCTTTTATTAGGCCCCCGATATTGTTGTGCTTCCAATTGCATGCCTCTCAAAAATAGGGTCGGTAGGTTGGAAATTTTTTGGGTCAATTTTTTTGGTCAATTTTTTTTGTCCTGATTGAATGGCATGAACGGGAATGACAGCTTCCAAAATTATCTCAAAAAGTGATGAACACCTTGCTTAATCTATGTAAAAATTTTGACAGGCGACAATTCACAAGAATTGTGGGCAATTCACACAGTGTGACTCAGGCAATCATGACGGCAAACTGGCCAACAACTATCGCGTGGTAAGCGTGCGTGAGGCATCCAGACCAGTAGGCGAAAACCTTGTGCTGCAGGAGGAAATTTGTTGAAAGACACTTGCGTCAAGTACGAGCAAAACAAACTCAAATTGTGGCTTTAGGGTTGCATGCGTGTATGGCCGATGTAGAGTAATCGACCGGAACGTACAGTACATGTATAGACTGGTTCTAGTTGCTACACTTCTTTGCATGGGTGCTGCGCAGCGGGAACCAGAGCAGCTGCGTTTAATGCATTGAGCTGTGGACACGTGTTTTCACCACCGCGACAGCAAAACGTGAATGAGAACTGGTGAAAATAACGGAAGTGTCTTTCCAAAAACTGCAAATGTAAATACGAAAACATACAAAAACAAGCATTTTAACGTGAGAAAAAGTTATTGAAAGATATTTTATGAAGACAGAAAAGACATCAGCTTTTCTAGACTTGCCCGAACGGGCACACCTAGTTAGAATTTTAATTGCCCCAATGAAAATTTGATTGCCCAGGGCTATCGGACAGGCGACTCATCGCGGCCTGACTTTGTCAAATGCTTTGCAGGCAAGAACAGTTGGACTACAGTTTAGTTAAGTGTTCAGGACCAGCTCACAGAAGTTGGTTGTGTGAATCACTGGTAATCAAACACCTGGTCTTCACTGCATTGTGGAGCCCAGCCAGTACCACAAATTATCTTGATGATGTTTCAACAAACACTTGACAGGTGGCATGTGTAATGTCTGTCATGGGGGGGAGGGTGGCTTATCGCTCAAGATTTTTCTGGATTTCAGGATATTTATCCACAAAGTGATGGCCTGTTGCAGGTTTAATCATTCTCGATTTGCTACATTTTGCACTCTTTAAGAAAACTGCATGTTTAGTTTACATGGAACTTGACTTGTTTCTCTTTTATTACCCGATCTTGGCAGCTCTGGTCTTGAATATTATGGATCTTCAGTCCAAAGAAGGAGTGTCCTTAATTACATATGATTGGCTGTACGTCCTGCAGGTAAACATTCCGCTTAGGTTATGCCCTAGGCTTTGTTAACATTCAGATGAAAATTGGTCACACATTTGAGTAATGTGAAACATGTTTGGCCCGGAAACATGCTGTGAGTTTGTGAACATTCCAGTGGAAAATAGGTCACACATTTGTGCGCCCTCCCACCTCCCCTGAAACTGGAGTTCTCCACTCTCTGGTCATTTATTTTTGGTGCAACAACAGGGCATTTAGTTGGTAACACCATGCTTCCGTCATTACCAAGTGACTGCACGAAGGAGCTCTGACAGTGTGCACAGATGTCGGCAATTAAATGATATTTTTAAGATTATTGAGAAAAAAGCCTGCCATAAGAAACTTTCAAGACTGGACCCAATAACAGCATTTTTGCAGTACTTTACGGTTCTTATTCCACATTATGCATCAAAGGCTTTATATAAACCATACATGCACTTGATAAGGCTGTGTTATTTTGATGTAGAATTGCTTTGTTGACCATTTTTCCCTGTCGTTTGTTTCCCCCAGGGAGTCACAGCACCTAGTCAAGGCTTCTTGAACTGTATCATCTACGGCTGGACTCGAGCCACCTTCCGCCTGGCCAAGTCTCCACAGGACATGCGGCCCATCCTGCGGCAGTCCTACCGCATCTATGGCACGGCCAGGTTCCCTAAGGCCCCAGTCTCGAGGCAGCACACCACCCAGTCAGCTGGCTCAGAGTTCTCTGATGACACCTCAACTGGCGGGAATCCTGTGTCGGCCGTGGAGGTCCAGTCTCCATGAGCACAGAGGCTTAGCAGATCATGGCTACCAAACGGAGGGGCTACCCCCAGGGCCGGATGGTCAGGGTTTTGTGACCCACGGTCACAGGGTTCCAGACTTGTCCAATCCAGCAGCTGGTTACATGCTGTGACCTTGCGCAAGTCACCTTTATCCCCAACTTGCCTCTCTCCACCCAGGAGTGTATGATGATAAAGTTAAGGCTTGTTACCGTGGCAAAAACTATCGCCCAAAACCAAGCCCTAGCTACAAAATACTCAATTTTGAAAATTTTAGAAAGTTCATCTTTACTCGCAATCACTTTTTGTACAGCAGTTTGAAATGAAACAATGAAAAGTTACTTATCTCGGCCATTTTTTAGACCAGTGTAAATAAATACCTTTATGCCCACTATTGCCAATTACTTATGCATTACTGAAATGATATAAATATCATAGCATATTAATCACTAGCATATTGTAATTGATGAATTCATAGCTTTTGAAAAATATAAAAGTCATATTTTATAGGTGAAGTGACTTTTTAATATACAAGCCAACACGTAATTTGTAAAAAGGTAAATGTGTCTTTTTAGATATTTAATTAAGTATAATTGTGCCAAAACCACTTTCATTTATTTTTGGTATATTACTTTTCATTTAAGTGTAGAAAGAAATATTCCAGTGCAATAACAAATGCTCAACAGTGAAAACCAAAATGCATTGAAACAGTTGTTGAAAAATATCCCAGCAATAAATAATCCCTCCTTGACAAACTGCAGAAATAGTTCCAATGGGCAAACCTTGCCCGCAGCACGTGCTTACAAATAGAATTAACATTACCATGCAGAAGATTTTAAGAAGTGGTAACAGCTGAAGCAAAACCTAACAAGCGTGAAAGTGTGCTTTTCAAAGTTCCATATTACTCGTCCAAGACTGTACAGCTGATCTCGTGTACATTATTTATATGGTTAGGTACATGTATTTTACGAATAACATCAGGCTTGTTATTTTTCCTGTTTCAAAAGGATTATAGGATTTTTTCTCCTTCCATTTCCTATTATTTCCTTCATTGTCAACATTCTGTACTTCAGTTTACTGATGGGGGGGTGGTCTGCAGAGAACTTTCTCCAACTTTTTTTCCAGGGTCATACATCATGTCAGTAATGTATTTTTGTGTATAAATTACATGTAGTTCTTATGCAAGTAGAAGTTCAAGTCTTATGTCTTGACATGCTCGGGAACATGTTCTATTCAAGTGATGTTTTGTTCTGCCTGTCATAAATGTAGAAAGCCATTTGACTTCCGTTTTTAGCTGATCTGATTGAGGAAAAGGGTAATTTAGAAACATGGAAGATTGTGTGTTTTTCCTGACAAACGAGGGCACTGTTGCTGTGACGTAATTTCAGGAAGGATCCAGAACTGTTCATTTTCACAACTCTCTGTATAAAAGTATAAAACCGGAATTTATGTATTAGAAGTATCTGTAAGAAAACCTTGCTCATTAGCCAACTGTGGAGGCTGAAAGAACAGTGAATCACCCAACACAACATTGGACAGTAAATCTAAAATAATATGGAAATAAATATGCAAATTGTACTAGCATAGAAACTTAAAACTCATCAAAACACCCTTAAAAATGGCAAAACAAAAGAAATTTAACATTCAAGAAAACACAAAGATGCGTATAGAAGGGTTGCACTGAAAAAAAGACATTGAATGGCCTTTTAGTAGGAAGTATACTTGAAAATGCAAAACGTTTTTTGTGCCTTTTAAAAGTTTTTCGTTATTTTGAGTTTTGTATTAAATATACACTAAATCCTCAAGAACATGGCAATCCCCTGATCAGCTGACAGAAGCTTTTGTTGTTGCTGCTATTCAAATTTTACATTTTCAGATAAAGCTGCCTGCCAGTTGTGGAAAAATGGGTAGTTCATTTGGCGTCAAATAGCCTCAGGACATCAGCTTTAAAATTCCTGAGAGCTCAGCATTATAGAGACACGTGAAGACAAGATCAAACCAACTGATAGTGGGGAAGAGTGAATTCGATCAGGTACGTGTGTCGATCGACGTGGGATACGAACCCATTTTTATAAAAATTGTCCAAAACCAGTGCAGAATCCACTGCTGTTATGTTGGGTAATTACAACATGATAGCACAAAAGTGAAACAACATATGTGTAAACCATTACTTTGTTCTGGCTACATAATTATTCAATTTAAACATTTATAAAACAAAGCTAACATGTAACATAAAGACTAGACTGGCAAACATATTGAGAGTAAGAAACATTAATTCGCAGTACAGCACAAACATACAAATCATATTAAAAATCTTCCTGTCCCCAGTCTAGAAAGAAACAACCAAAAAACAACAACAAACAAAACACTCCTTCGTACAGCGGGTCTCCTCTTTCTCAGAGTGGCACCCCCGGGTTTCAGCATTGGTGGCGCTGTTCATATGATCACCAAATCCAAAGAGGGCGCTGCGTGCACGTGCGAAACCTCACAGACATAAATAGGTAGGTACGTTTATGCGAAAACTCGTCAACTTCTGTCACAATAAGGGACTAGAAATTTGAGATTTTGTGTTTTTTTGTGGTTTTTTTTAGTTATTTGACATCTGCGGCTATATGTGAGGCATCACTACGTAAAACTCACGCTGCATTGAAAACCCATTTTCAGAATGGCGGACCGACTGAGCTGCGGACAGACAGACACTGCAAACAACATGCAACACGTGGGTGCGGTGGCATGGCACGTCGCGCACGCATGCTCGGCCTCGGGTGTAGTATACCGAGCGCACCGGTGGTCGCTTTAATCCGTTTATTTTCGCAACTTTGTGTATCATCAAGACAACAAGTAAGAAATTACTCTCTGAGGAATCGCTGGCACAGTACTTGATATGGAGTAATGTACATGTGTTTTGCTTTTATTATTCCACACTTACCATGTTTATACTTTCATGATTTTGCAGGAATAAAATTAATATAGGGGCCTACATGTAGGCTACACAAGGGCCCTAGGCCTAGTCCTTGAGACCGTGGAGAAAGGAAAGAACCATGGCGAGACTTATCCTAGGAGTAGGAGTACACTAGGCATGCTGCAAAGTACAATACATGTAGTGTATGGCCCATCTGTGAAAATGACATGAGTATCTAGGCCTATGCCCACGTCCACTTAGATTTTGCACACATCTTGCAAATTGTTTATCCCTCCCAAGCAAGTCGTTGGGTGTGAAGATGTGCTCACGAGTCACGTGCAGCAGCTATTTACTAGGCCATCCCATGATCAGATTTTATAACTACGTTATAAGCCCAACAGGCCCAATTTGGCGTGCTGTTCATATTGAAGTTTTGAAATGTTTGATGCGACTGCATCAGGATGATGTAGATCAGTTAATAATAATAGACTCTACGAATTGCCATTTAAAAAATTCAGATATTGTCCGTCGAAACATGGCAATGTAAACACACTGTATACTCATCAGTGTGAAGTCACCAACTTGGTCTGGATTCAACTCGATCCGAGTCAACTCTGTCTCAGGTCAACTAGGTCCCAAGTCAACTCGGTCTCTTCAACTCTGGAAGGCAGGCACATGGCTGCTGCATGAATAAAAATCTTCCAAGCTAGTTTTAACACACTTTAGCATAGGCCTACCTGTATTTATAATGTAAGTACACATATTTCTAGAATTCTAACATTGCATGTACTGTTCATGTAAATTTACTGACATGTACATGAGATGCCTGGCCTTGTAATTTGGGCAGGCCAGGCACTTGGATGCATCATTAATTACCACAGATGAGACGGCAAAATCCCAGTCTTTCTTGCCACACTGACAAACTTTGGCATATAAGTATATCCAGAATTCTAACATTGCATGTATGCTTCCACGGACGACAGACGTGTTGTTCATTCCACTGTGATCTTTTTGCAGCTTTTTAGTTTTCTTTTTACCTTCTTTTTTATCTGATGCTGTAGTTTTTACGTCGTTGAAGCAGTTTTTTATCGTGTCTCATTTGAACCTGGTCTCGGATGTATTAAACTTTTTTTGAGCATTTTTATTGAGCTTCCTTTCCTGTTCTGTGGTGGGCGACGTTGGAACATTCAAGATGGCGGCCGGCAAGGCGGGAAAATTCGGCGTACATCTATGGACATTTGGGTTACTGAGTGTCTGTGTGCTCCTAGCTACAAGTCTGTACAACACTTATCATAACTTCTGTGGTATCCTTATCCCAGTATTGACCATCCAGCAGCAGTCATCAGGTGGGACCTCTCCTAATCATTCCCCCCCGTTCAATTACCTTCGTGATATGCAATTTTGTTATCTGCAAGCATGACAAGCAGGCATATCATTATTAGCATCATAACCAGGATGATGTCTCTGATAACAGTGATATGCGGTGCTTAGCTGAACTTGAATAGTTTTCAAATGTTTCTGCTGAAAGTGTTTACGTGGGAAACAAAATTGTGTTTTGCAACATCAGCCCTCACGTTCTTAGGCAACCTGAACTTTTGATCTCGCAACTGCTCCTGCACTTAATGGAAAGCGTGGCAAAAGAAACACGTTCGTGGGATGTGACATTCTTTCCCCAAGTTGCACACTGATCAGTATGCACTTTTACCTTTCGGTGAAAAATAACTCCAGATCATCCCTGTGTAAGCTGTCTATGTTGTTACAAGTATGTGTGATGTTATGCTTGTCTGGTGATGTTTATCCTAACCGTGGACCCGGCTGCACGTATCCATGTGGTATCTGCAACAAAGCTGTCAATTTGGCCAGGATATGTTGTGATCACTGTAACATATGGATGCACCGCGAGTGTATCCCCATGAGTGAGGACATGTATCGGATTCTTGCTGATCACTCCAGTTTATCATGGACATGCCTCTCCTGTGGCATCCCCAATTTCAGTTCCAGTTTATTTTGGCAATCTAGTTCATCCAGCTTCTTTGATAAAAACTTATTTTCCATCTTGAGCGACTGTAATGCAGTTCATGACATTATCTTAAGCCTGTCAAATACAAGTCTTACTCGGTCTTCAGGAAAATTCAGCAGGCCTAAAGCCGCTTCCTCCCCACTTCCTAAATCAGCCAGTAAACTCCCAAAGCAAACAGCTTCCAAAATTAACACCAACATGCGTGTTGTGATCACAAACTGTAATGTCGTTCTTGGGAAGAAAGAGGCATTTGCCGAGACGGTAAAGGATTCCAATCCCCATATCATCTTAGTGACAAAATCATGGCTTAAACCTGGTATTAATGATAATGAGTGCATTCCAGATAACTATAGAATCTTCAGGAAAGACAGAGAAGGGAAAATGGGAGGCAGTGTCGTCATTGCTGTAAGGAAAGATTTGATCCCAACGCACCTTGAGTTTTTGGATGTAGAGGCAGAGATGATATATGGGTTTCTATCCAGATGGCTAACTCCAAGCCAATTTACATCGGCTGTTTTTACTGCCCACCTAACCAAGGATCTGATATTATCCAAAAACTCTGAAATTCACTGGGAAAAACTGGACTTGAAGAAGAACCCTACAGTTTCGATTGGGGGTGATTTTAATGTACCAGATGTCAACTGGGAAGTGCTTTGCTGAAAGTTCAGCTCTGAATGCAACTACCCAGCTGAATTAACTACTGAGCTCCTGAATTTACTTGATGATATTTCTCTTGTTCAACTTGCAGATGAGCCTAATCATAACCAGCAAAGAAGATCACATAATGTGCAGAATATCCTCAACTTGTTCTGTATTTCAAATCCATGCTGCTTCCATCCCCTCAAGACCGAGCCTGGTATTTCTGATCATTTCAAAGTCATCGCAGATGCTGAAGCTAGACCTTGTGTCCAGAGTTGTGAGAGAAGGCGGATTTATTATTGGCACAAAGCAGACAGGGATGGCCTAAAGGAAAGCTTGAACCAGTTTAGAGAATAAATGCACCCAAAAATCAATCGATGAAAACTGGCAGAGGGGTCTACGAGATACAGTTGGTGAACATGTACCCTCTTCGCTGAAGTCTTCAAGATTCAATCTTCATTGGCTAACCAGATCACTCAAACGACTGATACGAAAGAAGAATAGGGCCTTCTATGCTGCAAAATCATCCAACACCGATCGACTATGGAAACGGTACAAAGCACTCAGGAAACAAGTCCAATGTGACTTACAGAAAGCTGAACAACAGTATCTCTCAACTATCTTTGAGTCACTACAGACAAATGTCAAGAAGTTTTGATCCTTCAACAAATGCCGTAGACGGGACACATGTGGTATCACCGCACTTTGGAGCCAAGGTTCGTTGGTGAGCGATGCATCCAGAAAAGCCGAGGTACTTAGTAAACACTATGAGTGAGCTTTTATCTTTACTACGCAAGACACCTCTCTTATCCAATCTCTTGGGAAGAGTCCATTCCCAGAGGTGCCAAATGTCACAATTGACATGGTATTACAAAGATTCTAAAAGAACTCAATGTTAATAAAGCCCCTGGACCAGATGGAATCAGCGTCCATGTGCTGAAAATGTGAGCAGAAGAAATTGCTCCGATGCTTCAGATCCTGTTCACACACAAAGCATAACAACCGGGAAGCTTCCAAGGGACTGGCAATGTGCCAATGTATCTGCATTATATACATTGTAAAAAGGGTAGCAGGACAGACCCAGCCAACTACAGACAAGTTTCGCTCACATCAGCGATCTGCAAGTTATTGGAACACATCCTTTACCGTCATGTTATGAATCGTCTTGAGAGATTTGATATCCTGAGTGACCACCAGCACGGTTTCAGGTCGCGCCGGTCCTGTGAAACCCAACTATTATCTACCATTCATCACATTTTTAGCGGTGCAGACAAAGTCAAGCAAGTACATGCCGTCATTTTAGATTTCGCAAAGGTATTTGATACAGTTCCCCACAGACACTTGCTTCACAAGATGAAATTGTACAGTCTGTGTGGCTCACTGCTCTCCTGGGTATCAGATTTTCTCACAAAATGTGACCAAACTGTTGTTCAGGATAAATCGTCCAAACCGGTCCATATAGCCTCAGGTGTTCCACAGGGCACAGTGCTGGGGCCACTCCTTTTCCTGTGTTACATAAACCACCTTCCTGATGGTACCTCTTCCAAGGTTTTCCTGTTTGCAGATGATTGCTTAATCTATTAGACCACGGGGCATGGCCGATTATCTTGCACTTTCTTGGCCCACCTCGTGGATCTATGTACTTTTTCGGAAACCTCTTCAGAATGATGATAGGAAACTCAAAACTAAAATCCGCAATTCCGGCGTGTACCAGTTTTTGCAAAAAGCGCCACCAAAAATTTCAATTTTTCACGTTGTTGGTGTAGGAAAGCGTGACGTGAAAAATTACGTCATCGTTTTTACATGGCCAATCAATGAGACTTTTAGGGCAAGGCATGGTACGTCATTATGGTTCGACCAATAGCAGAAGCTGTACGTACAGTAAGTTGTTTTAGGTACCGGTACAACAGCAAAATGGCCGACATCTTGAGCTCCTCGGATGACGATTCGGGTGAAAAACAGTGCATTATGCACGTTTCAGAGTCCAGATTGAGGGTTTTGCCTTTCTCTAAGAAGAGCTGGATGACGTTCCTCGAGTGTGCCGGCCGGTGGAAAAATGGGCAAATTTCGACAGAGGCTAAAATCGTTGAAAAAGCAGAGATGAATCTCGGCTTGTCTGTCACGTCCGGTGCACACGTACATGACGTTGAATTAGAAGACATCGTGCTGTCAAAGGTAGGCCTAAGCCCTAACACTCCCGATTATCAACTGTTTAAGCTAGCCTTTATCTGTTTGTAGGGCAAGTATATTTTTTTCGTCATTTTGATACATCCCCGTCAATAAATGCACAAGCTTACTATAGGCAGGAGTTATTTGAGTCCGTTCCTGACTTTAAAATAAATTCACGTGTTTATCACTAACAATAGTAACACTGACTAAAGTCACGAAAGTGTCATTGACCACCATGAGCATGACCACTCTGGCTGCAACTTGTATTCTTATGCAGGGTAGGCTACAGTACAACCACAATGTACATTATACATTTTGCACGGTTCCAAGTGAATGCCTTTTAACTATTGGAAAAAGCTCCATATAGGCCAAAAAAGTTAATTCATTTTCCTCTTTATTAATCAATCAGTCCATAGAAATCAATTACAGGTCAGAAAAGTCAATTTTAGCGCTGAGAGAGTACAAGCATTTTCAATGAAAGCAGGATTTTTCAGACCAGTCTCATGCGGTTTGTAAAACAGGATGTCAAGTGAACTTCGTATATGGAACTCTTTCTTAAAATTTTTTTACCTTGATAATGATAGGCCTTGGTTGTAGTAGTCCGTCCTTTCTAGGCCTAATATTGTAATAACATTTAATGCTACCAAATCTTTTTTAAACACAGGGATTTGGCTGATACTCGCTTACTTCTTCACTGTTTGTACATCTCAAGGATCTCATCCAGTAACGTTACACATCACATCATCATCAAAAGCCCCGACACCGATGTTTTTATTATGGCACTCCACTTCAGCAGATCCATGAAATCACCGTTGCTGTTTCATACAAGCAGGGAAAAATTTACGCACCATAAACATCTCTCAAGTGAGCGAGGGTCTTGGAGCAGACAGAAAAGAAATGCTAATTGGGCTGCATTGTTTGACTGGATGCGACTCCACCAGTGGGTTTCATGGGAAAGGCAAAGCAACACCTGCGAAAATGGTGCTAACTGTCATTTGCTGTTTTTCCTAAAATCAAGCTGGTTTGGGATACCATGTTATTGCAAGCATTGTTTCAGTGTTGGAAGGAGTGAGCACAAGACTATATCTACTGAACTTTTTAAATATTGGCATTTGGGAATTGTCATGTATCTGGTTTGCCACTGTTCACAGATGTTTTAAGTGCCCGCAAACAAGTTCGGTAAACCATTTGCATTTTTGAAGCTGTTGCTAAAATAGTGTCACAGTATGCTTGAGACTTATTTTTCAGATTGTATGTGGAGTCATTGGAGGTTTTAATGGAAAATTTTGGATTTTGCCTTTTCAGGAAGCCATCAAGTACCCAGTCTTGAGAAGAATTGGTGACGACTATACAGTGACGACGGAGATAATTGCAGGAGTTGAGGGGTTCGTCTGTCATCTATACAAACAGTTGGATTGTTCTGATGTGAACATCGCAAGGTATGTGTTGATCTGCATTACAAGGGAACCGTGATGGAGTTATCAATGCCTCCAAACAAGGATGCCTTGTGCCTTCATGTCAAGAGGGCAAACTACCAAGCAGCCATATACAAGAGAGCCCTGGATCCGCATCCTGTGGTACCGTCGCCACACGAACATGGATGGAAGATCAACGGCAATGACATTTCATGGATGGATCTTCCACCTGCTCCTAACAGTGTTATGGAATTTGCCCATTGTTCGTGCAAAAAAGTCAGTGTGCCAAAGGAAAATGTAGCTGTCTTGAAAAAACTTGCCATGTACCGACTTGTGCAAATGCAGCAACTGTGAGAACGTGCAAAGTGACGAGCAGTGTACTCTGCCAGAAAGTGATGATTCCGTTGTTGACGAGTACCCTTAACCCCTTACAGCCTTCTACCTAAATCCTGCAATTGTTGGCCTGAATTAAATTTTACTTAACAGAGGTGTGCCCTGTGTCTCCGTCCTTCCAAAATTATCAGCTATCTTTGTGTTTAGGCAGTGCAAGTGGCATTCTAAAGCAGGGTGGCTGCTTCCAAAATAAATTGGGGATGGAATTAAATGTATGCAGGAGCCCCTTACTGCAAACCTGCCTGTAGTTTGGGAATTTAGACCAAATGATTGAAGAAATCTGTAGTCTTTGCTTGATCCAGTTTGCGAATGAGGCATGTACATCATCATTCATTGATATCAATGTCATGATGACATGGACAGTTTTTAAGTTTCCAGTTCAATTTGATAATTTGCCAACAGATGTATACTTTCAGTTTGGTGTTTGCGAATCATGAAGCATTCCTTTCATTTAGGTACCATGAACCTGCAGAGTTTTGGAGGTGTTACATTTGAGATATCATAATTACAAAGGAAAAAACACGGATGCATTCCTGATGACTGCTAAAGTTTGTGCATGTGATAAACTATTCCCTTTTAGATTAACCAAGAAATATTAATGTCATACTGGTTACACTGATAGTCAGTGTCAGCATGTGTATTTCAGTATACGGAAAAGCAACTTCTTTCAATTTGAAATATGACTTGTGTTTTTAGTAATGTGGAAGCAAGTGTTTTCGTCCTTATTGAAATATGGAGTGAAGTTCTGGGTTTATGAAGTACAAGTACAACCGAATAAAAGAATAAATGAATTTTTTTGAAAACATTATGTATTATGCATGCTCAAAACTTAATTTAACAAGGAAATACATTTTCAATTTAAAGACTTTGATGCTTGAAGAGTGAGAAAACTTCAATGGGAATGGAATTTTGATAAATATACCTGATACTTTGCAATCGACACTTTAGGACAAGGTTTACTACCTCAGCAGACACTCACAGTCCCTTTTCAGCAAGCAACAGCAATACCAAAACTTTCTCAATAGAAAATGTACCTGGTTTTTCTTATCCCGACCATTAGAGGGTGCCCTTTTACATCAATAATTAAAATACAAATATTTAAATAACTGGTGAACTTGGGATTGTGGATTTTGACTTTTTATGATTCATAAGGTCTAAACTAACGATTGGCAGTGATTCCACTTAGATCCGAAAGGTGCGCCAAGGAAGGTGATTTCTGAGCGCATTTTGCTGCCATGCCCCGTGGTCTAATATCGTCCTATTGAAGATAGAAACGACTGCCTTGCCCTCCAGAAAGACCTCCACAAGCTTGAAAAATGGAAAAGAACCTGGCAGATAAACTTCAAACCAGAGAAATGTAGCATCATCCGGTTCACAAGAAAACGGTCTTCGACTCATTACAGTTATTCACTGTCTGGTAATAAGCTATCAGGAACAAACCATCATAAATACCTTGGTGTTATCCTTTCATTTGACATGAAATGGAATCAGCATATAGATATAGTCACAGCGAAAGCCAATAGTGTCATCGGGTTCCTTCATAGAAACCCGAGTAATGCCCCAGATCATGTAAAAGCCCAGGCTTTTAAGAGGGTGGTTCGACCCCACCTTGAGTATTGTAGCTCTGTATGGGCTCCGCATACAAAGATTGAGGCTGTCCAGCGCAGGGCGGTGCGTAGTATCATCCAAGATTATAGTAGGACCAGCTCTGTTACAGCAATGCTAGAAAAGCTCAAACTTCCCCTCCTTCAGCAGAGAAGAGGGTACAGCAGCTTAGTCATGCTACACAAAGTCATTCATCACAGTGTTGATCTGGACATAAGAGATCTCCTTGACTTGCAAGAACCTCCATCATCTCGCACACGAATGAACACTAGGAGCTGCAAGACAAATCAACTTGTCATCCCACAGTCTGTGTCACAATCCCATCTTCATTCATTCTTTCCTAAGATGGCAAGAGATTGGAATAAGCTGCCAACACTTCTATTGAGAAGTTATCTAGCTTCAAAACAGCACTGCAAAACCATCTACGGCTGGAGTGAACAACCCCCGAGTTCTGTTCTGAGTGATGCTCATTTAGAGCTTGTCAGACTATTCATCCAGATCCAGACTATATTTACACATATAGTCCTGTACTGACAGGTGCATGAGATGCCTGGCCTTGTAATTNGGGAAGGCTTGGGTGCATCATTAATTACTTCAGATGAGAAGGTAAAATCCCAGTCTTTCTTGCTAGAATGTCAAACTTTGGGATACACATGTACATGTAATTAAGTATTTCAAGATATCTAATATTGCATGTACACGATAGTCTCATACTGACATGTGCAGCTAATATGCAATGCCCTTGGCTGGTTCCCTGTCCAGTCACACACTGCTTGCTACAAATAGTTGGTAGCGCAGCTCGCACTCTGTGGCGTGACACAAAAGTGGCAAAACAGCCGTCAGCGGGGCAATATTTATCTGGAGTGGGAAAATGGCAACAAAAATGCATAATTTTCTTCAAACGAGGAAAAGGCAAGTTTTCTGCAATCAGCATCCTCGGGATAGTTCACCCCCTAAGTAGTGAACATACATGTACCGGTGCAATTTCAGCTCATAAAATCAACCAGATGTTTAGGTATGCCCCTGGATTTCCTAGACAAGGCTTTTCAAAAGTAATCCCTATGAATCAGGACAGGGCCCAGAATATGACAGAGGAGTATACGTCAGGCCCTGTTTACGGGTCTACCTTCCAGGTGGCCTTCCTGTACATTTGTACATCCATGATCATATAGGCCTGCATCATACATGACAAAAATGTCGAGTTTACACACTTGCTACTGTCACTGTATACTGTACTGAATTCCAAAGCCTTTGCAATTACATCAATCACGTACTGTATGTACATGTAGGACTATTGACCTGATTGCCAGTTCTGTTTTGTTTTTTTTTTGAAGTGCGAAATGAACGCTTTGAAAATGTACCCACAGTGAAGACAGTAACTATTAACGTTACGCCTGCTTTTCTGAAAATAAGTATGATGTATGTATATTTAGAGTAATACTAGAATTCATCAATCTTGAAGAACTTCTTATGTGGGATGTGGGATTTTCAGAGATTTGTTCAAGTGTGCCACAAAGAGGGAACAGTCAGCTGAATTCGTGCCAATTTCTGGATGCTGTCCAGTTTGAATTTCAAGTTTTTAAATCTCATGACACCAAAATTGTTCACAGAGGGGATCAGTAGCATGTATTTTAAAGGTTATAATATCATTATTTACTGTAACTGAATGAATTCAAAGTTTTTTAGCAAAGAGGTTTGGCCGTGATGCGTGTGGAAAGTCAGGGAAACGTTGAAGAGTGGCACGTTACAGACTCAACTTCATTAGGGCCAGGTTAGTGGACTATACCTCGGTATACGTGGCCCTACACCTAAACTAGAAACAAGTGCAGGAAGGCTTAACATTGGGATAAAGCTCCCCAGCTGTGAACGGTATCAGCCACATACAGGTATTTCTCAGTTGCCTTTTGATTAAGTCACCCAGCAGTTTATCATGTTCAATTTGCTCAATGGCGAATTCCTGACCATCACGCCTGTTGGTAAATTATTTGTCATCTGGATACCATAACTTTGTTACAACTTTGATTTGCTCAAGATCTTCACTGGCAGTGAACATGTACAACTCCAGACACCAGCAGTTGTGGTGATCTCTGAGAACGTTAATTACGGCACACCACTTTAGATATGTTCAGCTAGCATCTATCATGTGTTGCATTGAATCTATTTTTAACATAAGAGTAGCTCCCCTTAGGCTTTCGTGCCTGTAAAAGTATGTAGTATACCCAGCACAGTCATTGCAAAAGTTTAGGACCACTCATACAAAAATGCATCAAGCTGAAGAAAAACCAAACTTAAACCAATCAATCATGCCAACTTATGTTTATTTTCAGTGTGTAATCTTCGAATCTTGGTTAAACAGCTATTTGACTACATTTCCATGGTTTGAAATTTTAACAGTTAACAGTCTAATGTTTTGTGTGCCCTCCTTTCTCCTGATTACCATTTTGCAGTTGATTGTGTGTGTTCATTTGATTCTAAAAGAACTAGGAAGTAGATAGAATCTGCCCCCTCAAGATTTTTTCCCGATATTGCCATTGTAGTCGAGCCTTCAGGAGTTTTTCAGTAACTCTTTTTGTGGTCTTTTTGACACCAATTCTGTGAATGTCACACATACATGTACATGTTTCTTTCTCGCTACTAGCACCCCTTTTTCCTGAAAGAAAAAGCAAAAAAAAAAAAAAAAGCAAGTGGTCCGAGCCAATTTGGCTCATCAGGCCGGTGTTATTTGCAGTTTCCTTGGCATAAAATGATTGAGAATATTTCTTTTCCCCCCTGGATGGGATGCCAGTCCATCGCAGGTTGCTTTCCAGCTAATGCTGGTACCCATTTATACTCCTGGGTGGAGAAAGGCAAGCAGGGGTGAAGTGGCTTGCCAAGGGCCACAACATAGTGCCAAAAGCTGGATTCGAACCTCAAACCTTATAATTGGAAACATAGAACCTAATCACTTGGACACATGAAAGAGGTCTGCCATACTTTTGCATTTTTTTAATGAGCCATGCCTTAAGTTTAATAAAGCAGCTTTTTTCAGTCACTTTGACAGCAGTTCTGTGAAAATCGCACGCGCTGTTCTCATGCAGCACCCACTTTCCTGAAACAGGTCAACCAAAAAAATGTACCTGCACTTTCAATTGCTGTGCTGAGTGCACACGGTGGCTGGTACACTTGGAACCTTCAACTTCAAATGACCATATCAACTATAAGTTGTATGTCAGATTGATTTGAAACTCCACATCTTTCTTTCATTGTCCAAAGACGGTGATTTCTGTAAGAGAGTTGCTCAGAAGAGTGGTAAATCTACGTACCAAAAGAAACCAGACCACTAATGTGATCAAATAGTTGTAGAAGATAATAACATCTTCTCTTCCATCAGAAGACCGTGAATGTGTCTGGGAAATTAAGATGAATGGCACCTGCACAAGGAGCCGAAGGACATTGCTAATGCTTTCAACACCTATTTTACAGAGATTGGAAATAAACTCGCGCAAAATTTTGATGATGGCACTGATAGTGCATGAGTAGTATATATGATGGGGGTTCTGGACCACTTTTTGTAGGAGCCTCCAAAAGCCAAATAGAGCCTCCCAGCTACCATT